GCAGGTCAGAGTGATGTAATTCCAGGTTACTGAAAGAAGTCTGCATTTATATGGCTTAATAAGAAATCCTGTAGAAATGCCACATTTCAGACTCCATGATCTCCAGGACTTAGTACTTAAACAGCCATTTTATATTATGAATGTAAATAAAGCACACATTGTAAATGTGTCTTTTTTTGTCTTTATTCCACCTGAGAAAACAAAATTTAATGTTGCAGAAATCTGCCTTGGTCCCACAGAATAAGTGATTTGTTGACAGTTCAGTAGATTTTATTTAATCGGTTCTGAACTCTGCAAATCTCCAGTTTTCAGCACACACTCCACTTGTACATTTATTTTCATGCTTGGCGGTTTTACTGTGGAATTTGTAGAGAAAAATGTTTGTTCTAAATCTCCCTCTTACCCACCCACAAATTCTGCTATTCATTCCATCATCAATGGCACTTCTACCTCTGCCTGGTTTCTGTTAGCTTTATGGGTATTTCACTAATAATTTGTTTCACATTTTTCCATTGCAATAATATAGTACGCTGAAGTACATTTTTGAAATTTTACATGTTTACAACAACAACTTGCTTTTATAAGCACTCCAAGACACTGTCTGGCGTGAAGGGCACTATATAAATGCAAGCTGTTGTTGTTCATGCGTGTAGTGTCTCAGAACGCTTAGATTGTATTGTACAGTACTAATCTATCTTTAAATCCCACCTAAAAAACATACCTCTATAGCTGCACATAGATCACCTTCCTTCTCCCTTTCTCTCCCCTTTCTTGCTCAGTGTCCCACCCTAGCCTTGTGAAGCACTCTGAAATCCGAGACATTAACAACAACAACAATCATATGTTCTGGTGTTTTGTGTTATACAAGTCAGCTTGGCTGATTTGGTATCACTCTTGCCTTTGGGTCAGAAGCTTGTGGTTCATTTTCCATTTTGGGAGTTGACATTCATAGTCTTGCTTCTCACAAATATAGAGGTACCACATTGTCAGAGGTGCTATCTGCTATCATCAGGAATGAGTTTTTTGGGGGGAATTGGCTGCACCCACTTCTTAATGGATATTTAGGGTATGTTTGCATTGATGTGCTGGAATTTCAGTGATAAGGTAGGTCTGAAATGCTTTTGATAATGCAGCACCAACGCTGTGGACATTTCTACCCAGCAGTTCAATTTTTAAGACATCTATTTGGGATACCGGATCCTTTTATATTATTTTTTAGTAGGTAGATATAACAAAAACAACTTACGTTTATATAGCGTCCTTCACACGGAGTAGAATCTTGGAGCACTTAACATTACATTGAGAAGTGAAATACGATGATATGTGGTGGTTAATAATATAATCTATTTTGTAGAGGGGATCACAATTTAACATCAATTTAATTTCTTCTTCCCTGTCACACTGTACAATAAATGCACTGTGGCAAATAGAAGGAGCCGAACAAATAATATTTATTTTTGGCAAAATATATCTGTACCATATTGATTCCTAAATGTTACAAGGTTTCATATAGTAAAGATTTTGGTGAACACTAGAAACTTTCATGAGAGGTACACAGATGTAAATTATATTACCAGAGATTTTTACGTTTATGCTGACTTTTCGCTAGCCTCCTCCCCATCATTCTAAGAACATGCATAAATCAATCATATTTTGTACACTATGTAAATAATCATTTATTTGCTAATAGTGTGCTATACAGAACTAAGTGGTGACTACCTAGGTGAATGTAAATCCCAAATAAAATGTAGCAAAAATTGTTTATTTTACACTAAGTAATATGGAATAAAGATTAATAAATCAAATCTCATGACTTTTCATGTAGAACATGTTAACAATGTAGAAGGTCGTACAAAGGACAGGTCATCAAAATTAAGCAATGGTCTGATTTTGACGAGTATTTTCGTTTAAATACATCAAAATAAAAAGACAGAACAGTCATAAAAATTACCAATGTCATAAAAGTTGCCAGTACTTATCCACTTATTCATAAGATAGGAAGTGCAGAGGTGTACAAGTTTACATCCCAATCCTGACTCGGATTCAAAGTTGACTGTTTGTGGTAGGGCTTGCCAAATCTACATGGAGCACTTTATGTTGGGGAGGGGGATTAAAGTTCAAGAGGACCAGTTCCATCATACAGAGAAGCACTTTCTGGTTGATGATTATAGGAGCAGCTTTAATGGCAGCCATTGAGAAACTGCAGATTGCCTTACTGAAGCTGAAAGCAGAAGTGGTGACGGCTGAAAGCAGGGGGGCTGTAACAGAAAATAATGAGGTTTACAAGAAATGTAAATATACTCATTTATTACCACAAAATATTGTGTCATGACATATTTATATATTAGTAACTAAATATGCTGGTGCTTTATCCAACGTTTTAAATATTTAAGCATAAATGTGACCTTACAAGTTATCAAGTGAAAGGTAAGCTTTACCTTCTGCTCACTTACTTAATTCCACATGTAGCTTTAGTGGTGATTTCCCAGAGTAATTTGTCAAAATCTAAAAGATCAACAATTTGCGATTGAATGGAATTTATTTGGTTTGAGCAATTGTGCCTGTTGAACAGATATGTATTCTTTGCTTCTTAATGGTCTGGAACATGTATTTATGTTGCTTCAGGCTTAAAAACTCTAGCCGTTTACACTTTGTTTTAATATTAAAATGATACTATTTATATCAGGACTTTCATGGGTTTACCAGGAATTTGAAAGTGTGCCAAGATTACACTGTTATGAAACATATACATATTATATATAATACTAATAAGTTACTGGATCACAATAGCCCTCTGGGGGCTTATGACCTTGTCCTGAGGATTTATAACAACGTTTTGGGCTAAAAAAAACAGTAATGCAACTACCTTTGCCTGAATACATTTCATTCTTTTTCGACTGAAAAATAAAAATCTTTGACTTTAACATTGTGGTATTTTTTACTGTGACATCCTGATTCTATTACTTTTTTTCTTATTATTCAAAGTGAGTGGATAAAGGGCACACTGATATAAGTATACATAAATTTGTTTTACAAGAAAAAATAGAGGATTATAATATAAATATATGGTGATGTAAATTTTACATAAAACAGTAGCTGATGTGTATCACCATAAATGGACCAGATCATGTACATTCTCAAATATTTGTAATCAAATTAAATGTAGTTTTACAGTGGACATACAAATGTAAAAACACTTGTGGGGAAAGGAAGTATGTAATGTACTTTTGAGAAAACTATTAGAAAATAGAATAAATGTTCTGTGTGGCTGAACATACCTTTAAACGATCCACCCCATGAGCTCAAAATCCAATACACAACTTACAGAAAAAATGTAGCTCAACATTTTCTTAAGAATTTGCTGATGCTGTTGTGTTAGAATCGTTTCATGGAAACTATAGTAACAGAAAATGTTGTTCTTGGAGTAGATTCTCAGAGTTATAATACTCCTTGTCACATTAGGAGCTATCTGAAACCGATACTGAGAAATTTGAGAGTTATCCCACATGAAATTTAGAATTAAAGGGGTTACAAGTGCAGTGTTTTTTAACTTGTTCCTTGTGTTAATTAGCATAACGAATGAGCATTAAGGAACACTATTTTATTCCTTAAGTAGCACTGGTGTAAATCTCCCATTCACCTTCTTCAAACCTGATATAATAATAATAATAATCCTTGCAATTGATAGAGCGCCTTATCATGTCTTCTAGACGTCTCAAAGCACTTCAAAGAATATAAGAATGAGTTAACTGTATATTTTATCGGAGAATCGTGGCAGCCAATTACGCACAGCAGTGTTCCACAAACAGTCGTGGATTGAGTTACCAAATTGTTATTTTTTTAAGGAATTATTACCCCCGGAAAAGTGATCTGCCAATTGACTAACAATCAGGTTCCTACTTAATGCTCGGTAAACAAAGGTGGGTGGAGTAAGGAAACTTGCCTAACGTTTCACCCTGCCTGGGAATCGAACCCAGGTCCTCTCGCTTGCGAGGCGAGTGCTCTAACCACTGATTTGCAAGATTCCTATATAGTCAGTTTCCTGGTGTAAACAATGGCTTTAACTCAAAGGAAGGACTTTTAGTTTAGGATTCCCTCAGACAGTGTCATTACACTGCAAAGACCCTTTCCCATTAAATTTAAATGTAATAAGTAATGTGTTCTGGCCAATATCCCTTTGGAATCTAATTCACCCCCAAAATATTCTAATTAATTTGATACCTATCTCATTATTTGTGGAAGGATTTAACTGCCATGTTTGCATACTTTTCAACATTCTATATAAATACAAGTTTATTATTTATCATTATGTATTTATTTACATATCATTACCCCATTTATCTGATTGTATCATTAATATAGGTTATTTCTGCCTTGTCATTCAGGTGTATGCTACTCCTGCTAATATGTTACTCAAATGTGGAGACTTCCTCCCAGTTATACATTCCCTCTTCATCTATATTTACCTCTAAATTCAAAGGAACTGGCTGCTCATTTCATTGTCATTTATAGGACATTGCTGGCTGGCACATTTGTCTCCATATTAACAATCACTTCATTTCTAATTTATCTTATTTTGTAAAGCGCTTTAAATGAAAGGAGCAATGTAAATGCTGTTGTTGCTTCCTGTTGTTTGCAACAGCTCTCTGTTGTTTCAGGCTATTCTCATGGGAGCTGATGAAGGGTTCTATGCACAACAATGCTGATTGCTGCTTTTGATTTCCAGAATATTTTGTTTATTATTTTTTATTGCAGTTTCCACTTAAAATAAAGTAGCTCAGACTCTCAATGAGATTTATAGCTCACAAGATTGGTGTTGACGAAAGAGGCCCTTCTCATCCTTCCAGAACTACCCTACTCCCCCTTCCCCCCCCCCAATAACATCAAACTACATTTACGTTTTAAATGAGTGCTCTGGCCTTAACTACCCTTCCTGGCAAAGTCAACATTCCACCATTCGCATTGCTGCAAGTAACACTTTATCCTATTTACTTTTGTAGGAAGCTGGAGAAATGGTTCGATCCTTTGTTGGTGGTCTGGAATTGATTGTTAACTTGCTGAAATCCAACAACACAGAGGTACTCGCCAGTGTTTGTGCAGCTTTAGCCAAAATAGCCATGGATGAGGAAAATCTAGCGGTTATAACTGATCATGGAGTTGTCCCAATGTTGTCAAATCTGGCAAGCACAGTAAGTAATCTCAGTGTCATATTAATTGTGCAAATGTACAAAATAATTGATCATAAAAAAAATCATAAATTGATAATTATCACTAAAAGTAAAAATAGTTTGTTTCCAAAGGATTCTGAAAATGTGTACTGATTACCACAAATAGCTGTTCAAGTTGAGTGCATAACAATATTTAAACAGGAATCGGATAAGTGTGTAAGGAAAAGTAATACTAAAGCTTATGGAAAAGAGCAGGATAATGGAATTGGAGTTGATAGCTTCAGTGCAGAAGTTAGTACCAGTACCAGAATAGGCTAAAAGGCTTCATTCTGTGCTGTAATGGTTTGATTCCATTAAACTAGATCTTTGTTTCATTTTATAGTCCAAGACACCGTTTCAAGTTTCAGTGAATAACTAACTTATTCATACTGCAAATTATATACCTTATAAAACATTGATTCAAGATTCTGTGGTATCCCAAACCATTGTTTTTTTTAAATCCATTTATAAACACCTGATCAATTGTGGAATTAATTACACTAATGTGTTGATAAAAGCAGTAATATATTTTATAAATGAAAGCATGTATTTTTACAAATTTTAAATAAAAGTAATGGACAACAACAACTTGTATTTATATAGCACCCTTCATGTGGGGTAGGCCTCATAGCACTTAATGAAGTGGGGAAATAAACATTATTCATTATGTAAAAAAAATGAAGAAAAGATGAACAAAACCTGCCTAACTATTTTTAAAAATCTGAAAGCATTTCTTCACTTAATTATTATCATGTTAATTATAACTTTTTGGAGCATATAGTATACATACTAGAATAAAAACTAGAATATGCTGTTTATTATCCCAATGGGGAATGTAATGTGCTGCGCTTGTTTTGCCCTTCCAACAGACAAATGATAAGCTCTGCCACCACTTGGCAGACGCCATTGCTTGCTGTTGCACATGGGGTAACAACAGGATCGCTTTTGGAGAAGCAGGGGCTGTGGCCCCACTGGTTCGATATTTGAAATCAAAGGATCCTTTGGTGCATCGTGCTACAGCACAAGCTCTGTATCACCTCTCATTTAATCCTGACAACTGCATCACTATGCATGAGAATGGAGTGGTTAAGGTCAGTTTCAAAATTCCAAGTTACAGGTGATTATAATATCAATTTTACTGGCACTGTCACAGTTTTGTATATTAAAAGAGTTACAGCAAGCTACATTACAAGTAAGGGGTGAAGCTATCCTGGTCAGCACGTTATTACCGACATGTCTTCCTGTTTGTTGTGCATGCAAATAGCGGGAAATGAGATCAGCTGCAATCTGATGACCTGGAATTGGTCACGTTGGTGGAAAAGTTGGCCAGCGTGTTGGAAGCGAACTAGCCAGCTGCATGTATCTGCAGTGATTGAGATCCATAGTACAACGTGTTGTAACAAAATTCATGCTATGAAGAAGCGTCTTATAAAAACACGGTACTGTATTTAGTCTATAATGCCCCAAATTGTCTTGCGGACGCAAATTCAATATTATGTATAAATCTTTGTAGTCTTCTTTCAAAACATTCTTGTGGGCCTTAACAATAGTTGAGCCAACAAGTATCGCTCAATCTTCAAAATCCCTACTTCCAGTGATTTCTAATTAGTATAGGTATTTGGCTTCACAAATATATGATTTCTGACACTTGGGTCCTAATATGCAGCTGTTTCTAATAAGATTCATTGATAAGGAAACCAAGAGAGGACTCCATCTGATAATAGGAAGTTTGCTAAGCACTCCACACTGATTCACATGGACGCTCCACCGAACATTAGATTACATCACATGAGAGTGGAATTCACCAAAGTCTTCCAGGTTCTGTATTAAGGAATCCTGTTAGAAATCACTGAATATTAGACCTCATTGTAAATATTAGGTAATTTTCTTTGTCCAATAAAGAATTCACTGATTCCAAAATTCTGTACGTCTTATCTAGCAAGCGTTTTCTGGTAAGTATATTTCCACATCAAAATGAATCTATCTGATCACATGCTTTATATTGTAAGAATGTTACAATAGTGTGACACTTTAATAGCTGTGAATCCCATGCATTGATCATGTAAGCACACATTCCTGAAAGTGGACATTAGCTATGCTCTTCTGTTTTCCCAAGAGGGACACATCCCCACTAGTGACCAGATGAGAACTGATAGAAATGTATCACACATCTGTTGAGCCTCCAGCATGAGACTGAAATCATGAATCATGGAGATGCCCATTGAGTGCATTGACAATGGGAAGACATATTTAGTGATACCATAATGCCATAATCACATATCCAATCACATTACTGTATGTTACACCACNAAAAAAAATGCATGTGTAATCATGTGGTAACTATCTTCTTCTATCTATCTCTCTATCTATTTACCTACCTACCTACCTATCTATCTTAATAAAAACAAAATATCTGTCAGTGTGTCTGACAATAATGTTTATTTCTTGGCAGCCCGTTCAGTAGTGGATCAATTCCCAACCATTGTTAAAATTTATATGCAACAGAATTATTTTTGTATTCTAGCTGCTAGCACAGCTTTTTAAGTTTTTTTTTAGTTGTATCAATTATTTTTATGTTACTATTATGCAAAAAAGCATGAAATTCTCACATTCTCCAGCTTCAATTTAAGACTAGGGCTCAGGCTAAATCTATTTCCCTGTCAATGTTTTGGAACTGATTTTCCCTCATATATGTGGGAAGGTAAAGTGCCATTACAGCTTGGCTGCATTGTATTTAAAGGAAATACTGCCTAAGTCTTCTCGAAATGCATCTTATTCTTAAGGCATCTGAATCTTTATCCTTCTACTGGGCACCCTCTGTTACCTCAATCAAATGCCCATTATTCAAGTGCATCTTAAAATGAGTGTTACTCAGAATCTGAACCCATCCTGAATAACCTCATGTTCACAAATGAGCATCCTCAAGCAAGAATCACTAATTAATGTGCAGGAACACAACACTGGTTTGTTTTTTTACTCTCTGACTTATAGGTGCTAAAGCCAATTGTAGTATTCTACAATTGGCTTTAGCAATTGTAGAATACTACAATCAACTCGCTCAGCTCAGACCATGCTACGAACATTTAATTTTGATCATTCGTGTAAGTAAATTAAACTTATTCTTTATCTTTTTTGAAAGACATGAACAAAACTTACACAACACAAAGCTCTGGTCTAATGAAAGACACTGGTCATGGCTATTGAGTTACAGGAAAGGCCTTTTTATGATTGATAGCAAATTTGAAACCAGGATGTGGCATAAATCAAAAAAGTTATAAAGGTATCAAGTCAAGTTCAAAAACTCACTAAATACAACTTAAGCCCAGAGGCTGAAAATGCAGAACGGCAGAAAATAAAGGATGCTGTGTTGCTCAGTGGAGGCAAGTGAATGTGACTGATGCTGACAACTGTAGATGACCATATGAGGTTATTCTGTACATAAAGTGCAGGAAGGTAGAAGTCAAATGGATCTTAAATAGAAAAGAGAAGAAGGTGATGTCCCTAGTGATATGCTGACTTTAGTCCACATATTTAGGATAAGGAAAATAAAAATTCTCCACTCCATTAGTGTTCCCATAAATGACAACGTTTCTGTATGTCACATTTTCTTTTTTTCCCCTTTTTTATGTATTTTTCCTATGTCTGTCTGTCTGTCTGTCTGTCTGTTAAAACATTCTGTGTGCATCAAGAGAAAATTATGGAAGGGAATAAACTGTTTCCATACTTCTCTTTCGCTCTTCTTCCTCCAGGTGTCAGCCTGGCTCAGTCAGAAACACTCAGTTCTTAGTCAGAAATTTATGGGCTCAATTTCCATGTCAGGATTTCGAGCTCACAGGTTTCATTGACCCTCCAATGCAGTGCTAGAAGTGCACTGGATTGTGAGAGGTGCTGTCCTTTGAATGAGACATTAATCCGAGGTCCCATTTGCCTGTTCAGGTGGATGTTAAAGATCCCATTCCATGCCATATAAAATTGGTCATTCACTTCTTGGTTGTTTGTGGGACATTTCTGTGTGCAAATAGGCTGTGGCATTTGCCCACGAAAGTCACGACACTTTCCAGTAAGATCTGATGAAGTACTTTGAAATGTCTTGACGATCTGTTAACACCACATAAAATCCAAGAATTATATTTTGGTTACAAGTTCCTCTATGTGTGCGTGAAAGGTTGTTTTTGAAATTTGTGACATGCTTTTTATATTTCTATTTGCTTCTCATCGCTGTCTTTTTTAAAAAATTTTGACTTTTTCTTTTTGCGGTTTCTGTGTTTTGTTATTTCTATTTTTTATAGTTTTGTTTTCACTTTTCTGATCTGTTGCTGTTAATACCCTGACTGTGATCGCTGTCTTCATTTTTCTTGCAATTCACATAAGTCAAGTTATGGGATATGTAATGCACTTGGAACAAAATTGTGCCTGAAATTTCTGGGGGGAAAATTGCACAATAGCAACATTTATTTGCAGTTTTAAAATTCAATGAGATCAAAATAAATTTGTTAATTTGGGAAATTTTCAGGTTGTAACGTGCCAACTATCTTAATGTTCTTGAGGTCCATATTTAATGCCACATAGCAGGCATACTCAGCAACAGCTGGTTAATCCAGGTCCTCATGTGAGAGACCTTAGTAAATAGATGTGCCCGCTGTGAAAGCCGACTCCGTTTCCTGGGCGCTTAGCGACAGGTCAGCGTAGGCCGGATCCGTCCCTCCCTGTAGCCTCTTCTCGTGTTTGCCACAAATCCACATCAATGTTTGATCCTGGATATATTCCTTTGAGATTGTTTTTATGTATTGTACAATGGAGTATCGTTTGAACTATTTCACATCAAGATTCCTGAATATCAGTACCTTGTGTGATTGAGTCAAAACACAGTTCCAGAACCGTAGAACAATAGAAGTTTACAGCACAGAAGAAGGTTAAGAACAATGTTTTAAATCTCATTTACTTTCCCTTTTCCCTATACCCCTGTAGTTTACTTCTTTATAAATATTTTTCTAGTTCCGTTTTGAAATCATAACATAATATAACATGTAGGAGCAGGAGTAAGCCATTCGGCCCTTCGAGCCTGTCCCGCCAGTCAATCATGGCTGATCTTCTAATCTAACTCCAGCTAATAACCTGACCCTGCCTTATCCCCATATCCCTTAATCCCTTTTGCAATAAGAAATCTATCTATCTCAGTCTTGAATATGTTCAAGGACAACAGCCCTTTGGGGTAGCGAGTTCCATACATTCACCACCCTTTGAGTGAAGAAGTTCTTCCTCAACTCAGTGCAAAAGGGCTGGTCTCTGATTTTAAGGTTGTGACCCCTGGTTTTACTTTCTCCAACCAGGGGAAACAATCTCCCACTATCTAATCTATCATACCCTTTGATGATCTTATAGATTTCTATAAGTTCCCCTCTAATTCTTCTATATTCTAGAGAATATAGGCCCAAATTGGTCAGCCTATCCTCGTAACTCAACCCCTTCATCCCTGGTACTAACCTAGTAAATCTACGCTGCACCCCTTCCAAGGCAAGTACATCCTTCCTTAAATGAGGAGACCAAAACTGGACACAGTATTCCAGGTGTGGTCTCACCAGGGCCCTATACAGTTGCAGCAAGACTTCCCTACTCTTATACTCTATTCCTTTCATATTGAATAACATACCGTTCGCCTTTCTAATTGCTGCTGCACCTGCAGACTAACTTTCTGTGATTGGTGTGCAAGGACACCCAAGTCCCTCTGGACGCTAACACATTCCAACCTCTCCCCTTCAAAAAAATAACCCACTCTACTGTTTTTGCTACCTAGGTGGATGACTTCGCACTTCCCTACATTATACTTCATCTGCCACCTATCTGCCCAATCACCTAACCTATCTATATCGCGCTGCATTTTTTTAATGTCGTCCTCTGTGTTGACAGTTCCTCCTAGTTTTGTGTCATCCGCGAATTTAGATATATTAACTTCGATGTCCTCATCTAGATCGTTGATGTAGATGGTAAATAGCTGAGGCCCAAGGACTGATCCTTGTGGCACTCCACTAGTCACATCCCGCCAATCTGAAAAGGACCCATTTATCCCTACTCTTTGTTTCCTACCCGTTAA